TCCTCTTACCTCCCTCTCTGGGCTCTCCCACAGACGCTCCCCAGAGGAGCAAAATCCGAATGTCCCAAGGGTGAGGGGGTAGGGGTCACTTCACTTCCTGCAAAACTGACAGCCACAGGAGTCATGGATGGGAAAGGACCCCGAGCCTCTAGTGCATTTTACTGGTCTCTACGGGTGAGGTTGGGGCTTAAGGAGTCATCATTGTCTGCTGGGGTTTGGATGGAAGCCAAGCAAATACCTGGGAGCTTGAGAGAACTCTGGAGCTGCTTCTGCTTCGAGGTGCAGGTGGGAGTCTACACCTTCCTTCATCCGGCCCCTAGGCTCTGTGCGCCATGCCAGCAGACGCTGTGTGCGGGCCAGCAGGCTGGCGGCAGCCTAGGGCCCCAGGAGGTGGGAGCAGGTGGGAAAGACAAGTGCCAAAAGCCCAGAGGACTGAGACATGAGCTGGGCTACTAGGAATGGAGCCCTGGAGCCAGACAGATTTGGCTGGAATAACCAGAGGTGCCCTACTCTTTCTAGGGCAGGCTGAGTCTGCGGACACTCACTTCTCCTGGCTCTGCACCCGACTCCCCACAGCTGTCCTGTTCTGGGGGAGTCAGGGCTTCTGACATGCAATTAAACTTCCTGGGGCTGACAGGACTCCTCTAAGCTGGAAAATGCAGGAGCATGGTAAGATAGCAGCTGAGTTCAGGCCTCAAAGGCAACCACTGGGGAGAGAGGTTCATTCTGCTTCAGTGACTTAACCCTGACCACATAGCCTTGGAGGGAGAGTCCTCTCCAGCCCCGGAGCCACCGTGGAGCCACGTTAGGGTTCTGAGGGTGCTCTGTGCAAGCTGGGCTGGTCTCTCCAAGGCCTTTCTGGGGATCTCATGTTGCAGGTGCTAAAGGAGGGCATCCCATGGTGAGAGACTTTTTCAAACTGCGGTCGCAATCCATTAGGGACTGTGAAATTTAATTTGGTGGATCCCCAAAAAGAAAGACAGAAGGATAAAAGGAGGGGAAGGAGGGTGGGAAGAGAAAATGATGGAAAGCATTGCAGGGTGTCTCTTGTTTGATAAAACTTATATGTAAGCACAGATAAACTAGGTCATGATAAAACTTATTTCTTACTACGGGTTGCAGTTAAAATTTTGAAAAACGGTGTCCTCTCCTCGAAAGACACTTTTGTTTGGGTTGATTTATATCATTGTTAACAGCTCCTTCCATGTGTCATCCCATTTTTACTATCTAGAACATAAACACAAGAGAACAGGCCTAACATGGTGTAGAAAAGTTAAATACCTTTCTGGACTTAATTATTTTTAAAAATCTCTAAAACAAGGCAACTGCCTGAGGGGCCTGGTGGTTTCTGTCTCTATGAATCCATGACTCTGTCTCTCAGAATGTTCTTGAGTTGGCTGATTGAGACTCTTGCATTCATTCCCACCGTGCCCATAACCATAAAATTTTTAAGGAGAAAAGGGGGCCCTAAAAAAAGGAAAAGTAAACAGTTAGATGGGAGCGCTCCAGGGAGAGCTCAAAGGGCACATTTTCCCTGGATCCAGAGAGCGGCTCCTGGACAGCTTTTACACCTCTGTCCTCAGGGACAGGTTCTCTGGGAACCTCTCAGGGACAAGGTGATCTACTGCAGCACTGGCACCCTGGCCAGAGGTTCAGGGTGCCAGCCAGCTTAGAGGACAGTGGCCAGGCTGCAGGAGACGGGGTACCATTCACTGAGAGTAGTCTGCAGTCCTGTGGTCTGCCTGGAGGCCTGCCATGCCACCCGAAGGCACCTGGAGCCGGGCAGAGGCCGAAAGGCCAGCTCTGCCTTCCCCCCGATTTTGTGAAAGGAAGTACATCGAGGTGGCCTCAGCCTGGCACCTCGGAATCTCTTCTCCCAGGCAGGCCTCACCTGGAAGAGCTCTTTGTTTCTATACAGACCATTGAGTCTATACTAGGCTAGGGGTGTCGAACTCAATCAGAGAAGGGGCCAAAATCTAAAATCCAGCCTAAATCGCGGGCCGAATGGTTTACTGAACAGTCATAAACTGTCATTGTGATGGAAACGCAGCAGAGTGCAGTGATGACAGCGTGGTGCGGGCCACATTGCAAGGCCTGGCTGGACGGATTTGGCCCGCGGGCCATGTGTTTGACACATGTGTACTAGGCACACACCAGGTGCCTAGGAGATGGTCCCTGATATAACTTTTAAGAGAGGAAAACTGACCAAAAACACAATCTGAACATTCTAGAAGGACTACCCTTCCCAGGGACAAGTGAGAATACAAAAAAAAAAAAAAAAGTTAACTTTGGGGGAAAGAAAGAAAATTAGTGTTTTCAGCAGAGGTTCTGGTACATGTAGCATATAGCAGTTAAGCTAAAGGAGTTTAAAGCTATTACTTCGAACATAGGAATGCTGTCTGTCATCAAAGTCTTCAAGAGAACAAGGTATGGATAGCCAGTCCCTTGCTAGGAAGAAGCAAGTTCAGGAGACAATTAGTGATTATGGCAAAACCGGGAGAAGTGAATCAATCTCATGTGTTTTGCTTTTCTGCTTCTACAAAATAGCATTCTTCCTAAGAATAAAGCTGAAGTAAAAAAAAAAAAAATCTATCTTTGTTCATTAAATACAGGATGACTCAATATCAGGTTATAAACTATGCAATACATAGAATACATTCTACAAAGACCAGAGAATGATAGAGAGCTGACGATGAAGAGGAGAGGCCTAATGTGACAGATGAGATCTCAAAGAGTAGGGGTGTCGAACTCAATCAGAGAAGGGGCCAAAATCTAAAATCCAGCCTAAATCGCGGGCCGAATGGTTTACTGAACAGTCATAAACTGTCATTGTGATGGAAACGCAGCGGAGTGCAGTGATGACAGCGCGGTGCGGGCCACATTGCAAGGCCTGGCGGGACGGATTTGGCCCGCGGGCCTTGTGTTTGACACATGTGGAGTAGAGAGTCTGGAGAGACAGACGAGAGAAGGAAAATTGGGTTATTGGGGGAAGATAAAAAGAACTTGGTTAGGGACATAGTGATGGGACTGATGACAGCATGTGCAGGGAACACAATGACATTTATGATTCTGCAAACCTGCCAAAACTAGAGCCTCTGAGTTCTCCAGGCTGTCTGGGTAATCTAGATCGTGGTTCCTTCCATAGCTAAAAAGCCCATGGAGATATATATTAGAGAGGCAGTATGGAGCAGTGGGAAGTGCAGAGGGGAGACCTGGGTTCAAGTACTCCATTGCTCCCCGGCTATAAGAACTTTGACAGCTCTGCACATCAGTTTACAATGGAGAGAGTCTTTTTTTGTCAACCTGACTCATCAAATAAAAAACTGAAAAGAGATGAACAGTCCATTACTATTGAAACACTTGGTACTCATCTTCCATCACTTTTTGATGAGTTTTATTTTTCCCATGTTCACCTGTTTGGCCAGGCAAGCACCACCAAAGTGACTTCTGAGTCATTAACTTTGTCCAGAGGCTTATGGTACTTCTTGAGAATGTCCCAAAGTGTTGGTTGTCAGAGATTTCCTCTCATACTTTCCTTTGCATGAGAATTACTGCTGGCTTCCCCGCAATGCTTTGGGCACGGAGGTTCCTTTTCCTTTCATTACAGATGAGAATACATCCATCCATCAGACTGCGGGGCCTCCAAAGGGACACATTCTTTCATCTGTTTCTCAGATCAGATGGTCCATACCCTCGTTCAATCAATGAGACTCTCTTCTATTTTGTTAAATCTTTCCAGAGAGAACATTTCCATGATACTCCCTTAATGGACTGTTTCAGTGCTTAACAATCCTCTAAGGTTCTTCCCTAGATTTAGTCCACTTTTCTTGATTCAATTGAGAGTTTGAGAAGGGCTAGTGACCACATAGTCTAACATAGCTGTCTCAGAAATGGTTCAGAAGCCATCTGGCCTCATCTGTGTGATGCTGGGCAAATCACTTCACCTCTCCATGCCTCAGTTTCCCACCTGCTCAGCTTGTACATCTGAGCCATAGTTTCCTCCTCTGTCAAAGGCGATATCTTCCCTGACTCGGTGGGCATCTTTGTTGTAGACCAGTATGCTGTCATTACTATTTATGCATACAATCTTCCACTGGATAGTAAACACTAAGAAGGAGGTAACCACGTCTTCCTATCTCCTCCAGCGTCTAGAGCTGTGCGCCAACGAAGCGGAGTAGAATAATTTGTAGCCAACATTTTCTATGGCGAATTTTCCGCATCCACCTACAGTTTACAGGTTTCAGGATGTGTACTTCACTCCGCCCTTCTCTGCACACCAGTTGTAAGGTGGGGTTCGGGGGGGGGGGGGGTCTGGGAGGGGGGGGGGGGGGGGGGGGGGGTCCTGGGGGCAGGGCCCAGGCAGGCTAACCCTGAGCTCGCTTGGAAGAGGTTAAGACTGGTCAGGAATGTAGTCAGCCGGGGTCGCGGATGGGGGCGATGATGCGACTACACTTGGGCCACATTTTCTATTTGCTCTTTTATTTTAGGCTGTGGAGTAGGCCTGAGCTCCCTGGAGCTCTGCAGAAGTCACACAGCGGTTAGCTGCGCCCGGAACTCGGTGAAAACCGTCGGTGCCAGCGGCAGGCGCCCCCCAGCGCCCCAAGACGACGAAGCCCCAGCCGCGTCAGCCCAGGTCGGGGTGCCGCACCCGGGAACCCGTCCGCAGCGGGCTGGGTAGAACCACGGCGGCGGGCCGAGGGGGGATACGTCCCAATGATCACGGGCAGCAGCGCTGATCTGCACACACGTGAACACGGAGACCTCGCACGCACGGGGGACCCAAGCACGCGCTGCCCCGCGGACGGCGGTCGTGGAGGGACTGCACCGGGCAGGGTCTCCGGAACCAGAGCGCAGTGGTTGATCCCAAGTCCAAGATGGTTGTTGCAGCAGCACAGTGGGAGCTCCCGGCAAGCAGGGACGGGGCCTGTGGGCGGGGCCTGCCTGGTGGGCGGGCCCTGGAGGGGCGGGGCCTGGCGTGGGCGGGGCCAGGTGCCGGGCTGCCTCTGCTTGTCAAAAGGCAGCCGCGCCGCCAGACCTCGCAGCCGGGAATGCGGAGCAGCGCGCCCACCCGCCAGACCAGGTGCGGACCCCCCCGGGAGCGGCGGGGAACCGGGCCCCGGGGTCGGGATGAGGCCCGAGGTGGGGCCGTCAGGAGGACCAGGCCCCTGAGTGTCCAGGTGCAAAACTAGTGAGTCTAAGTCGCCGAGGCACAAACTTGGCGACTGAGATCCGGGCTGCCGTGCCATGAGGCTGGGTCACCGGAGGGGCAGACACTGTGGTCTGAGGAAGAGCTGAAGCTCGTGCCAGGCTGGCGAGGGAGCAGCGACCTCTTGGTGCCCAAGCAGCTTAACAGCAGACATGGTCCGCTAGCACGGTGCTCAGCACTTGGGCAACAAGAAGCGTTTGTTTCCTTCCTCTGTTGGGGCGCCTTGGCATGGAGCGGAGGAATGAGACAGGGAGAGACTGGCTGTCGATGGTGCTAATGTGGCTTAGGGGTGGACTGTGTGTGGCCTTCTGATCTTGTAGGAACCAAGGATGGTCACTTGCCATGGTGGATCTTTTAAGTAGAGTTTACTTTTCTTTTCTTTTCTTTTCTTTTCTTTTCTTTTCTTTTCTTTTCTTTTCTTTTCTTTTCCTTTCCTTTCCTTTCCTTTCCTTTCCTTTCCTTTCCTTTCCTTTCCTTTCCTTTCCTTTCCTTTCCTTTCCTTTCCTTTCTTTCTCTTTCTTTCTCTTTCTTTCTTTCTTTCTTTTTCTTGACTTTTTGACCACTAATGACTTTAGACCTCGTTGGCCCTAGGGCACTGGCTTTATTTTTCAGGAGCTGTCCATAAATGTCCAGCCAAACTCAGGGGCAAGCACCTAATGGAGGAGGGGGCTCCGGGAGCCGTTTCTGTTTGCAGAGTGAGGAGCTGGCACGTTGTGGCCGTGGGTGAGGAGGATTCAGGGGAAGTATCTAGGAGGGCACATGCGTTCTCGAGGGAGCAGTGGCCATGGCCCACCTCTCCATGGAATACGGAGGCTGAGACCCAGGCTGCCTGGGCTGGGAGAGCCCTGGGTCTCTGAGCCACGGCCCTTCCCGCATCTTCTCCTCCTCTTTCTCCTCCTCCTCCTCCTCCTCTTCCTCCTCCTACTCTGTGTGGTGAGTGAGTCAGCCTCCTGTCTGGGCTCAGCTGCAGCCAGAAGGGCCAGGGCAGGCATTTTGGGAGCATTGCTGGAGCTCTCCTGGGCAGAGTTCAGCTCTGCTCCTGCTCCCAGCTGGGAGGCCGCCTTCCTCGTGGCGGGTGGTGGCCGCTTCTGAAGGAAACACCGGGCACAGCGATCACTATGGGATGGCTAGGATATAACTCCAGAAGGGGTTGCCTGGGAAGGGATTGTGGCTTTGTGGTAAATCCACATCTCTTCTCCTTCCAGACCCGGAGGTGCATCCCAGCCCTGCAGACTTTCCTAGGCCCTCATTCCATGCCTGCCCCGTGAGCTCATTAGCTGCCCGTCTCTGCGAGTGAGGTGGTTGTGCACAAGGAGTCAGGAAGGTTTTGGAGCTAGGAGGCCATGGTGTTGGCAAAGGGTTTAAACCAGGCTGGGAAGTGGAGGTGACTTGCTGAGGCAGAAATGGATTATTTGGACACTGGAGCCTCAACTCGATGAATCAAAAGTGTTGTGTATTGGGGGGTGGGGGGCCTCTCTCGCCCCTTCCTTGTCCAGGTGCTGGAGGGGTTGCTTTTGGAAGGGTGTCAGGACTGGTGTGCAGTCTGGCCTGGAAGTAGTGGGACTGCAGTTTTATTTCTTTATTTTTTTTCCCCCGGGTTTTGTTTTGGACACTTCGATCCTTGAGCAGAAATAGAGGCCCCCAGAGTCCATTGCCCCTCACTCAACTGGCCTCTTTGAACCCATTGGAGAAAATTCCGCAAGCAGTTGTGGGGCTGAAACAAACTGAGAAAAAAAATCTGGGGAATTCAATCTGTACTCCGGCTGGTCCTATGGCTTCTGTTTGGCTGATCTCTCATCAGCCACAACTTGGACCCTTTCCACGACAGAGAATAAGAAAAAGGAGGGGAGAGGAAAGTTAAGAAAAGAGGAGAGTGGGACAGGAGGGAGGAAAAGGAAGAGAGTTAGAAAGCTTTCCTGACCCCTCACAGCTCTTCAGCCAAGACTTTATTTATATAAATACTGTGGAAGGTCTGATCTTGTCTGGGGCGCACTGGTTCTTGGTGCTTAAAGTTTCTCTGTCTGCTTCCTCTTCTCAATCTCAGAACTGGTCTCCTTTAGGGACTGAGTGCCCGAGAAAGCTGCACAAGGCCCTCCTGGTCCCCCACCCTTCACTCCCAGAATAGCTAGTGTGTAAAGCCAATGTTATCTATGTACAAAGGCCGGGGCTTAGTGGACCAGGCCAAATGGTCATCCACAATAGGAGAAGGCATTTCCGTCATTCAGTTCTTCACCCCACACCCTGAGGAGGCAGCGGCCATCCTGGCTGGAATCTGCCTCTGCTGGGAGCCTGCTGTCGTCAACGTCCCGCAGGTGGGGTCTTGTGGCCAGAGAGCCAGAGTCAGGAGCACCTGGAAGTCTGAGCTAGAGTGACATTCTCGTTGGTTACTGGGAGGGATGAGTTATAGGACTCCAGTTCCCCACTTGTCGCTGCTGCAGGTCTGTGTTGGATGCAGGTAGAGAGAAGTAAGGAAATGCCAGGGTTTGATTAACTGCCTCTTGTCTGCTCAGAAGGATGCCAGAACCCACCAGACCAGGCCTCTTCCCAGAGACAATCTGAGTCCAGGATGGGCAGCTCTGGCTGTTGCTCTGGGCCACCAGGGCCTCACTTCTAGTGACATTTCTCTGATTCCCCCTTGACCCGCCCGTGTCAGTGCCCCATGGATGGGCTAGCGAGTGACCGTGTAATTTATTGTCTATTAAGACTTTTGCATGAAAGGAGGTGCTATTAACAGTTATGTCCAATAAACCAAAACTGTCCCATGCAAAGTGGCATTTTTAATCATTCCAGTATAGTGGTTGGCAAACTCATTAGTCAACAGAGCCAAATATCAACAGCACAATGACTGAAATTTCTTTTGAGAGCCAAATTTTTTATTTTTATTTTTAAAAAATATATTTTATTGATTTTTTTTCATAGAGAGGAAGGGAGAGGGATAGAAAGCCAGAAACATCGATAAGAGAGAAACATTGATCAGCTGCCTCCAGCACACCCCCTACTGGGGATGTGCCCACAACCAATGTATGTGCCCTTGACCAGAATCGTACCCGGGACCCTGCAGTTGGCAGGCTGACACTCTATCCACTGAGCCAAACCGGTTTCGGCAAGAGAGCCAAATTTTTTAAACTTAAACTTCTTCTGCCGAAACTGGTTTGGCTCAGTGGTAGAGCGTTGGTCTGCAGACTGAAGGGTCCCAGGTTCAATTCCAGTCAGGCGCATGTACGTTGGTTGCGGGCACATCCCCAGTAGGGGGTGTGCAAGAGGCAGCTGGTTGATGTTTCTCTCTCATCGACATTTCTAGCTCTCTATCTCTCTCCCTTCCTCTCTGTAAAAAATCAATAAAATATATTTAAAAAAACAACAACAACAAAACAAAACAAAAAAAACCCTTAAACTTCTTTTAACACCACTTCTTCAAAATAGACTCGCACAGGCCATGGTATTTTGTGGGAGAGCCACACTCAAGGGGCCAAAGAGCCTCGTGTGGCTCGCGAGCCGCAGTTTGCCGACCACTGTTTTAGTAAACATTACCCGAGACCTAGTGGAGGTCACAGAGGGAAAGGGAGGTGGAAATGGGTTTAACGAGGAGGAGAACATGGAGATGGTGCTTAATGGAGAGGGGAAGGCGGGGATAGCTGCCCCCCAGCCTGCTCCCCACGTATTATCAGCCAGTTTCACTCTTCTCCCCGAGGCCAGCACTGCTCCCAGCCACCCTCTCCCAGACCCAGCCTGCCTCTCATTCGGGTGACTTCCTTTCACCCTTGACTTGGGACCAGCTTCACCTTCGGTTTTCCTGCCCCACCCCTACCTCAGACAGGGACAGGGAGGCCTGCCAATTCCCCTTTAGCTGCCCCGGGGGGAATCAGATTTAGAATAGAGCCAAGACTCAGCCCCAAGCTTCCTCTTCCCTCTTCCCCCATTTCTGCTTCCCAGATCTCTGGGGGCCATACCATTCCCCGGGAACAGCCAGCACTAACTCAGGCAAACAACTAGAAAGGGAAGCACAGTCAAACCCTGCCCAGGTGGGAAAAGGGCACAGGTCACGTGTCATCGGGTTCCGGGGACATGGTGAGCAAAGTGGAAGCCAGAGCCGGAGAGAAGCTGCTTCGCAGGAGACGGGGTCAGGTCCTGGGCCACTGGAGTTTAACTCCCTGGTCTGATCTGACTGTTGGGGAAATGGTCCAGGGTGGAGACAGGCTGTTCTTGCTCAACCCATGTCACAGGCGTTGGTGGCGGTGACTGCATGCTGCCCTGGTGACATGTGGAAGAGAAACTGCCCTCCCTTTGGAGTCCTTGTGGTCCAGATGCTCGGGGTGGACTTCCTGGAGAGTCCCCAGAGCAAGTGTTTGAGTGAATGGGAAGTCAGCACGGTGTGTGTGTGTGTGTGTGTGTGTGTGTGTGTGTGAAGCCTCCTTGATGACTGTTCTGCAGAAAGGAAGTCATTCTCATCACTGACAAATGACAAGAGCAAATGAAGACCTTTGGGGAAGTCCCACCCTTTTAAGTGACTTATGGGGAGGTAGGAAGGGGAGATACCTCCTGGGCTGGCAAGGAGGGGGGGGGGGGGGGGAAGGGGGCTGATCAGTAAATGGCAGGAGCGAGAGGCAGAGGCAGCAGGCTTCTGATTATGTGTCATGCTTTTGCAAACCTGCCCTGCAGGTCCCATGCCAAGACATAGACCAGGCAGTGTTCCCACAGCCAGATGCCACACAAAGTCCCCATTCTGCACAGGGGAGAGTCCTGATCCTGAGCAGGGTGTGGGCAGCTGCACCAGCGGGAAAGTGGAGTTTGGGCAGGACCAGCAGCTGGTTCCTGGGAAGCTGCTGCCTCTCGCTGGCCTTCTCATGACAGGTGGAAGCTCTGAGGTGTTATGCAAGGTGTCATTCAAGGCACTGTGGGCCACCTAAGGCTTTGCTGGTAACACATCCAGTGTGTGCCACCTGCTGGCACTGAAGCTGTAGCTCCAGGAACAGCTACTTACGGAGCCCTCAGTGGTACCGGGTGCTGTGCTAGGTGAGCGCATGGGCAGCCTTCCGAGCCCGCTGCCACCTGAGAGACAGAACCGCTGTGACCCTTCCACAAACGGGAAGCTGAGTCTCGGTGAGACTGAGAAGTGTGCCAAGGTGACCCAGCGGGAGAGTGGGAGTGTCAGGACTCACACCCAGGTCTGTCTTAATCTCCATGGAACCCTACCACCTTTGCATTTATGGACAGCCACAGGGCATTCAGGGCCATGCCTTGCACATAATAGGCCCGCAATAAACGTTTGTGAGCGGCAGGGTTAGAGTCACTGACTAGTTTGAACAAGTTGACCTGGGAGCAATCTTGGTTTGCCCAAAGGTTACTTCGGGGACAGTAGCCTCTCAGAAGGAGGCTCTCTCTGCCAACAGCCTTGGGCCTCTGTGCAGTCCTGGGTATCTGACTTGGGTAAAAGCAGCTGACAAGAACCGGAGGGAGGTGGCTCTGTGCTGGGTGATCGCATGAGAGCAAGTAAGACTTGAATGGTCTGGAAGGCAAATAAGAAACATGTTCAATGTCAAGCAAGCCACTTTATTGATAATCTTCTCTGAGCGGAGTGTGCCAAGAGAGAAAAGTCACCTGGGAGCTATTCTTGCCTTGTTTACCTCTGCCCTTCCTGGCTATCCTTAGAGAAGACTCTTGAATCTAGCCCGCATGGAGGGGGAGGTGGACTCTAGCCTCATCTGATAGCCTCTGCTGGGCATTGTGCCCATCCCGTTGCTTGTCTCCTTCCATCATCGCAGCTTCTCTTTGGAGCCAGTTACTATTCTCTCTGGCATATAGGCGGTGAAAATAGGTGGTTTAAAGAAGTGCGGTAAACTGCTCATGGCTGCATCGTTAATCCGTGACCATGCTCTATATTGCTTGCTGGTGCTGGGCTGGCCTTACAGACCACTTCAGGTGCCAGAGCCCAGACACAGAGATGGGAGGAGAAAGCACTCAGCCGACCCACCTTGGCGCTGTCCTCAGGGTTCCTTGGTAGACACGGCTGGCATGTTAGGCAGCGCTATTAAAAGTCGTGCCAGCAGCCTGGCAGGGTGATCGAAACAGGGGATTTGCATTGGGGGTTCAAACCCTTGTTTTATCACTTTCTGGCTTGTGACCTTGGGCAAGTTTCTTAATCTCTTCAAATCTCAGCTTTCTTGTCTGTAAGCGGGGGGTTATGAGAACTCACGTGTAGGATTGTGTGAGTATGAGAGATGCTGTAAATCAAGTGCCTGGCATGAAACAGGCCCCTGGAAAGCATGTGCAGACAGTCGTTCAGGAGATGCATGTCAAGGGTCTTGTGTGTGCCAGGCAGTATTCAAGATTCTGGGGATTAAACAGTGAAAAGACTCTTGCAATTGTTTTCCAATGTACTAGACCAGAAACTCCTAATTGCAAGAGGTTTCTTTAGAATCCAGGAATGGCAGTCTTGGCTAAGCTCAGATTCTGAACATTGATTTCTCTTTCTGTCATTTGTTAGCTGATGGGAGCATGGGGAAGTCCTTTGGCTTCTCAGAGTCTTCAGTTCTTTTTGTTTATTTTTTTAAACTGTGAAACACATGAGTATGCAGTACACATACGCATAGATTAAAGAACAATGTAATATATCCTATACCTGCCACCTCAGTTTGGAATGGAACAGTTACAGTACCTGAGAAGCACCCTTTGCTCTGCCCATCTGCATCCTCTTCCTTATTCTCTACTCCACAATAATTCATAATTTGAGCTTTGGTTCATTTTTCCCTTGCTTTTCTTTGTGAGTTATCATCTATACGTTTTTTACAAAACAATAATATATTTAGTTCTACATGTCTTTGACGTTTACATACATTTATGTTCTCTGTGATGCACTTTTTTTTTTTTACACAATATCATGTTCCTGAGAGGCATCCATGTCGACACACCCAGCTATAGCTCCTGCGTTTTCACTGCCTTGTAGCATTCGTTTGTGAGAAGATGCCACATTTGTATGTCTTCCCTCTTGTTGATGGGCGTTGGGGGTGTTCCCAGTTGGGGGCCACTGTGCGGAGATAATACTGCTTGGAATGTGTTGTGCTGGTCTCCTGTCTGCATATGTAGGCATTCTTTAGGGCACATCCCCAGGAATGGAACTGCTAGTTCAGACAAAGTTCTTTCTTTTCTTTCTTTCTTTCTTTCTTTTTTTTTTAAATATATATATACAATATATTATTGATTTTGTGCAGAGAGGAAGGGAGAGAGATAGAGAGTTAGAAACATTGATGAGAGAGAGTCATCGATCAGCTGCCTCTTGCACACCCCCTACTGGGGATATGCCCGCAACCAAGGTACATGCCTTTGACTGGAATTGAACCCGGGACCCTTTAGTCCCCAAGCCGACACTCTATCCATTGAGCCAAACCGGTTTCGGCAAGTTCAGACAAAGTTCTGTGTTTGGAATTGCTCTACAACGCCAAACTGTTTTCCACAGTGGTTGCACCCCCTCAAAATCCCCCTATTCCTTACAAGTAGTGAATAAAAGTTCTCCTTATTTCTCATCCTTTCAATATTTGGTACAGACTTCATTTCTAAACATTGTGCTAGGTGAGTTTCTGAAGTCCCTTTCAACTACAATAATTGTACCATCCTTGACCTAAGGACCTGGTTTCTGGCTTCTGTATATGCCATTCTGCTGCATTGTGCTCAGGTGGCACCAGACGTGCCACAGCCTGTCTGAGGGCCCCGGGCAGGGTCTCTGGGCGCCACTGAAGCTCTGCCTCTCTGTGTTTCCACCAGCAGCTGGTGAGGGACCCCATGGCTCCGCATCCTCCCCACACTTGGTGTTCTGTTCCATTTACTCAAAAGCCTGATGTCAGCGCTGAGCACACATGAGGTGCTCAATGAATGCCCATTGGATTGCGTTTTTTTGTCAAGTGCATTAGAGGGATGAATGCTTTCTTTTCTTTGGGCATCAGTTTTGAGAAAAGGACATGGAAGTAACAGAACCACGTGTGTGCTAGCTGGGGGCTGTGGTGGGATTTATGTCTGTCCAGGGCTTCTTCACCATTTCAAGGCTCCAGGTGAGGCAAAGTGAATTTAATAGTATTCACTGACTGACTATTCCGAATCTGGCCTTGTTCTTGGATGGTCTGATTTGTCCAATCTGAGAAGCAGGGAGTGGCTGACAGACTGGCAGGGAGACAGTGGAGGTGGTGCCATGTGGAAGGAGCAGAATGCTCACCGAGAACCCCTTCTCCTTCCAAGAGTTGAACACTGCTCCTGGGGGTGCAGGATTTAAGAGGTGCTAGATGTACCCACTGTTCTGGCAGCCACGTAAGCAGCCGGCTGCCACTCACCGGGCGGAGGAATGTGGCTGGCTGGGCAGTTGCCTGGGCCACCCCAGCCCGAAATCCTGTAATTACTCATCTAGTCGGTGCCTGTCAGCTCTGGAGGCAGGAGAGCACCTCTGCTCGGGCCTCCTCTCAGGGGCAGGGCCCCACAACTCTTCCGCTATCCCCCACCCCAACTCTGTCCCAGTGTTTCTCTCTGCATCAACCTTTGGCCCTCCTGAAGCTTACATATCATATAATAGCTGCCAGTGATTATTAGAACTTTCTGTATTCCAGACACTGCTCAATGTTTTCCTGCATTTCTCACTTATGCCCCTAAATAATCCTATGCGTTAGATAATAATATTTCCCCCATTTTACAAAGGAGAGAACTGAGGTTCAAAGCAATCGAGTGGCTTCCTTTCTTGCCCAAAGCCACGGAGCTCTTACATCAGAACCAAAGCTTAGGTTTGGGTCATCCCAAGTCCTGAATGCATGACCCTCCTCCACCTGCTCATTACCTTTCCACACAGTGTCCAGGCACTCAGCTCAGTCTGCCCCCGCTCCCCCCAAAGAGGCTGGAAAGGAGGCAGCAGGTGGTGCCAGTGGGAGGCGAGTGGGCCAGTTCCAGGCTGGCCGGGAGGATGCTGGAAAACACCTTCAGGGCAGAGTTCTTTGTTCCAGGCTCTCTGAATCGCCCGGCCTCTGCCAGGGGTGGGAAGGTACTCCTGTCCAGCCTATTTGGCAAGCACACCAACGTCTTGGGTGCCATGATGTTAAGAAGCGGGGGATGGGTTGCCTCAGGTAAAATTCCACTATAATGAACTCCATCTGAGACCTGAACAGCTCTGTCGAAGTGGAATTACGTTCGCCTGTGGGCAGTGGAAGAACTCAAGTGTGCAGCTTGGGAATCTGGAGGTGAAATGAGCTGATGTGCCACTGAGTGCTTCTCAGTGAAGCTCCGGAAAGGTTCGGAGCCTGGAAGGAAAGAAGCCAGACACTTCCCCAGTTTCTTCGAGAACGCTGAGCTCCTGGACAGCTGGGGAAGGGCGGGGGTGGCGGGTGGGGGGAAGAGCTGTGTGCTTAACTCCACCTGACAGGACTGTGACAGCGCAAGCCCTGCCTGCTGGGAGCCCCTGAGAACAGGCCTGAAACACATCTCTCAGGTGTCACCATTCAACAAGACCTAACCCATCGCAGAAACACACGAGAGATGTTTATTGGGTGGAAACACGTTTGTAGGCAAACTGGGTCCCCTGAGCTAGAAGGGAGAGTTGAAAGGCAACTGCTTTGTGTGGCTGACACATCTTTAAAGAGCTGGGCTGCAGCTCACATAGATTCCTCCCAGTTATTGAACCAGGGGTGCATAATAACGAGCAATCACCTGGTGGCTTGTGCCAGGCGCGTAACCTGCATTATCTCATTTAATCCTCAGACTTGTATTGTTATTCTCCTCATTTTATAGGTGAGGAAACTGAAGTTTGGGGAGCCCCGGTCATTGGTTCTGGTCACACGCCTGGGAGGGAGCAGAAGGCGGTCTGTTCTCTGCATCGTGTCTCCGTGATCACAGCGCTCCCTCCACTGGTGTCACTGTGGCCTGGTTCTGGGGGGCTGGGACTGGGGCTAAGAGTGAGGCTGGAGGGATACACGCCCTGGTTTGCCCCTGGAACTGCAGCCCAATGTGTCCAAATTACCTAATTTTTATACTAGAAAAATCGACATCCAGATTGTTTTTTTGTTTTTTGTTGTTTTTTCCCCCCGAAAGTGCAGTTTCTCTACTTTTCAAACAGTGACACTAATTAAAAGTGTATAGTTCCTGGTGGTGATGGGGGTGGGGCGGCACACAGAACACTCCCCTGCAGGCCTCCAGTGTGTGCCCTGGCCGTTTCTTCCCTTTAACAGGTGCCTGTCCCATAGAACGGGACCGGGAAAGTCCTTGTTTATATAGGATTTCTCACTAAAGGCACGACAGAGCACTCTCCATGGATACCTTATAAGGCAGAGTGGGGCTTTTTCTGAGAGACAGAATGAAATCTTTCAGTCTGATGATATTCCATGAACGAATCCTCTCTCCCTCCTTCTCTCTTCTCTCCCCTACTCTGTTTTCCCAGTCAGTTGTTTCTAATAAATATTTTTCTAGCATTCATTAAAAAGAAAATTATTAATAGAGAAATCAAACAGAAACTAAGAGTAAGGAAAGGGTCTCTAAGTATTAAAAACAGGAATGTTCTGGAGGGCTTGGTAGGCAACGAATGGCGCTTATCACGTATGATCTGCACTTTGGGCCCTCCTGGCAGTGAGGACCTCACGCTGCCACAGAGGGTCATGCTCCGTGGAGTACTTCAGCGTGTTCTCTCACAGCCTCTACTCTACTCCTGAATCTGGTCCTCCTCCTCCTCATAAATACCTGGGAGAATAATCGTAAACTGATTGAGTAACATTTTTATGGGTTAAAGCAATTTTTATAACACACTTCCAGTATTTCATCTCTGCTAATACAACAGTCCCATGAGGTGGGCAAATGGGTGTGGCTTCCACCAGCCTTTCCCCACCTGCCGCCCTCACTCCTCACCTGGGGCCCACAGGTGGAGCGAGGTGGGGCAGATGGTCCTGAACCCCTGACTAAGGTCCCCTCCTCCCTGAAAATCCGATCCAGGGCAAGTGTGGGGTAGACATGGGGGGTGAGGGGGAACCCCTAAACTGACTCTGGATGGCCAGTGGCCAGCCTTCTCCCATGCCTACCCCTACCGCCTGTCACCCTGAGCCATTGTTTCCCAAAGCTGAGCAGAAAATAGCTCACTAGGGAATTATTTTTGTCTCTGTTAAACTTCAATCCCCGAAGTACCTGGCGGCAGAGTTGTTTTTCAGGTCAGCGGGGGGAGTTCTGGGAAAAGTAAGAGGTGGGTGGAGGGCCGGTCACCTTTCCCCTCTGGGCGGGGATGGGCCACAGCCCTGGCCTCCTCCCTACCCATCAGGCTGCCTGACAGCAGCAGCTCCAGCTGACAGAGAGGAGCCTGCCCAGCCAGCCGGAGCGGAGTTTCACTCACAGCTCCTTCGCTGGGCCCAGGCTATGAGCTGGTGCATCACATCCCTTCCTTCCGGGGGGATGCTTGCCTTTGCTGGAAAGAGTTGTGTGAAGGGAGTAGGTTGTTTGTTACCCAGTACAGAGGCCCAGGTGGGCAGCCAGGGGAGGGGTGGGGGGGGCAGCCAGGGGAGAGGGGGCAGCCAGCTGACTGCTGAGGAAGGAAAGAGGTCGTTCCTCTGGAGACCCTGGTTTAGCGCCTCCTAGGCAGCCTTGAATGCTGCTCTGTGTAGCAAATCTGTGCCATCTTTGCCCCTGGGCACCAAAGAAAAACAAGGAAGAGGAAGATGGCCAATGGATAGGGCTGGGGAGGGGGGTGATAGCTTGGAGGGAGTGCATGGGCTACCACAAAGGGAGCTATTTCCTACCACTTGGTGGCCCTGAGAAAGAATCCTCCTGACAGATTAGGACGTTTTGACCCGAAACATTGCAACAAAAGGGTACAGTATTTTTCGGACCATAAGACTCACTTTTTCCCCCCCAGAAGTGGGGGGGAAAAGTCCCTGCGTCTTATGGTCCAAATATAGCCTACACATATACTTTAAAAAAAAAGTTTTTTTACTTGCCCGGCTCTGTGTGGTCTCTGTGTGCTTGCCCGGCTCTAAAATGGTTCTAAATGCTGCTGTTTACTTTACAGGGTTGATTACATGTGTTTATGACTGTGATGTTGGGTTTTAATGCACATAAAATATTTTAGGACACTATTTGTTTCAGAATCTTTTTTTCTTCATTTCCCTTCTCTAAAAACTGGTGCGTCTTATGGTCCGGAGCGTCTTATGGTCCGAAAAATACGGTACCTTTTGTGGTAGCTCTGAGGGGAAGGCTGGGCTTGTGTTACATCAGCCAGCAGTGCGTGTGGACACCCTGACTCAGAGTGTGGGCTGGCATGTGCCCACACGTGCAGGGGACTTCCCACACATGTCCATGCTGCACGTTGTTTGTGACCATCGTGTGTTTGTGGCTGATGCTCTTCCTTAGAGCGATTCCTGGAAATGAGGAAGTGACCTTGCTGACCAGGAGAGAGGAGTGGGCCCTGGGGATGGGTGGAGTTGGGTTTGGGATCAGTTGGCTGTGGGTAACTCGGGTCTCCCTGTGCCCAGCAACCATATCTGGCCACCCTGGACAGATTGATGCATTAAATATGGATTGAACTGGTGATGTGTGGCTGAGAGTTCACCAACTAACATCTGGCCTTATTGAACCTTTTGTTCTTTTCATTTTCTCTCAGAAAACAGTTTTCCCTATTCATCTAGACTGAATTTTCCAGAACTCTCTCCTCTATTTCTCCCTTCCAGCTCAGTTCCTGATGGTCCAGGGTAAAGGATTCCACTACCCCCCCCCCCGACCCACCCCCCAAAAAAGGAGGGTACGGGTGGTGGTTCTGGGTGAGTACCAGCTGGGACCTTAACTGAGCTACAGGGGTGGCTGCTGCTTTGCTGACCTTGCAGGCCCTTTCCAAACAAACCGATGGGAAGGGGCCTGTTTTCATTTACTTTACAACATCAAGGCTGATTCGGGTTGAAATGGGGATCTGAATGGAGTCTGAAAGTCTTCAGTTTCAAAATACTATTACAATAATTAAAAATTCCTGCTATTCAATTTTCAGTGGTTTTATTAGAAGTATGCAGTAGAATAAAGAATAGAATATACTTCCTATTAAAATGGCCAGTTGTTTCATCTCTTCCTGATACCACTCCCCCCCCACCCCCCTTCAGTCATACGGAGCTAGTTTCTCTGCCTCAACTACACTCTTTCCCTTTTGCTGCTTGGCCTTTGCACATGCATATCTGCTAGGGAC